GCTGATCGTATCTCGAAAATTTAGTAAGTAGGGGCATTCGTAAGTAGAGGTACCACTGTACTTGACTGAACTACACAAGAGGTTGACAGAAAATCTTCCACTTCATTTCTAATGTGACACTTCTGAGAACTACAAGAAATAGTTATAAAATTTCAGGAAATTATGGATGTGGCACCTCAGAGCATAGCAGGTTTTCTACTGATAAAGTCTGGAAGAGTCAGACAAGATAGCTTCAATTATACTATTGTTCTGGCACCAATACTTTCACATTAAGAATGTCAGGCTATATTTCAGTCTACTAGTATCTCAGCTATTTGAGGGACATTAATGACTTCCAATAAAATTATGCACACATTATTTCCAGAGATAAGTTTTGGGAAACTCTGTAATGTTTTGTTTTCCTCCAGACCATACTGAGCCATTCTAGAATACAGTGCAATCTTAGGAACCACAGAAGAATTGCATGCACCAACATTCCACATTACCAGTGACACAGTAACATATTGCATAATATTTACTACTTTGCTCTCATCTGCAACTGTTCAGATCTGCAAACAGTTTGTACCTTTAAACTGTTGGCACTGAAGCACATATCCTATGTGGTACACAAACCTACTCCTAACTTACAATGTTTCTTCAGCTCCTAAGCCTAAGGCCTTTCTTTTACCCAGACATTATAACCACAATACAGAGGGTGTACCAAAAATCAGGCCCCATAGACAATTTACTATATAAATTACATTAAATGTTCAAATTGGCTGCCATTTTTCTTCTAAACACTTCCTTGCTCATTTGATGCATGATCTTTAAACATTCCTTAGCACAGTAGCATTTTCTCTGAAAAAAAAAATTAATAAAACATACTGTGATTGGCCTAAGCGGCCTGACTTTTGGTATACCCTGTATATCAATTAAATCACATTCATTTTTTACAAACATGCAATAGCCATATTAAACATTACATCAAAGAAATCATATAAACTAGTACTATTAAACATTAGGGCTATGCAATAATCTGGATTCAAAAGAGACAAGGTACACATGGGTGTGCACATAGCATCTGCCAGCAATTCCTTAAACAAGCTGCATTTTTTCCTGGGAGTGAGCACTCAAGAATCCAGATCAAATCCAGATCTTTACACATCTCCACTACATACAATTGCTGTACGTCACCATAATATGAGTATGAATGCACATTCCTATTACAAAATATTCATTTTTGTATTTCTATTTGTATCTACTGCAACCTCTCAAACGTGTTTCCAAGAAAATACCTTCCTATATTCCCTTGTTTTTTTTCCCATACCCTGTATTCTAACATATCCAAGTCACTCCTTTGCCTTTCAGATCATTTCACACTAACATGCCTTGTTTTCTAAGCTTATCCAGGTGCAATAACTTTTCTTCTGCTGCAGTGTAAAGCACCAAAACTCTAGTCTTAATCTACTTATTCCTGGTATTACAGTTCCTAGAATTAGGCCATGCAGCACATCAAGTCCCAGTATTTCCAAAAAAAGATTCAGCTATGTTGAGAACTTGCTTGGCAGTATATATTCCAATGTGATACATGCCATCAGCTGCTAACAATGGCATTCCATTTTTTATACATATTATATAAGCCAGTGTTTCAATGAAACAAGAAATTGGTCACCTCCACTGACACTGATAGAAAGATACAACATTGTATTTAATTAGGATATACTGTTGCTAATGCTACTGTTGATATCCTTCTAGCATTATTCCTCCAAATAATTCAAGGACATTGTTAGTATAGAAAATAGCAAAACATTTCATCAAGTTTGTTTTACAGAATGCTTTACCATGATTAGCATTTTCTTTTTCAATACAGGTTTAATAAGCATAACATTAATGCTGTTCTCGTAATTACTAATTACTGCTATTATGATTGGCCACTTAGATTATATTTCTGCATATGAACCTTAGCATTATAATGTCACAAACCAGACACTTTGCATTCTGACCCCATTAATAATTATCTTATATCCTCTTATATATCAAGTGAAAATAATAATTCACACATGCTAAAGAAAAGATTCTAATGCAATCTTACACCCAAATAATTCTGTTTGGCAAAGAGTTCCAACATATTCATGGAAGCTTAATAAAAGGAAAAACAAGCCAGGTAGGATCCCTTTATTTTCCTCCTATCAATGGGATCTTTTAAAGTGCACTGTAAAATTTATACTGATATTTGACACAAAAACAATGTTTATTTTTGTTTTTAAGTTCTCAAATGCTTCAACTGCTTTCTTCTCCCCATATATAGCTCTATAAAGCAAGCACCTAACCCAAAGCAATTCTGCAATGTAATTAATTTTGCAAGACCTCCTCCTATTACCTTTAGACTGGAATAAGTCTAAAGACAAGAGGCTAACAATAGGCTTCAGCAGGAAACATACTGTATTTGTATTCTTTAGAGAGCTATCTTGGCATGCAGCCTAAAGATGGCTTTGGCAACCATGCAAAAGTTGCAAATTAAACTGGAAATTCTAATGTAACGTATATTCTTCTAATAAGAGCTATAAATCTATTTCCAGGTGTAATTCAAAATGCTGATTTAGAGATTTAGTAGTGTAATCTTATAATTTACTCAGAAATAAGTACATTAAAGAGGTTATTCCAAGATTTAGAACTGCAACCTAAGTCATGAATTGCTTGCGTTCACAGTATCTGAACACTTGATCTTGAGAAACGTTCTTTCTAAAACTACATTTATTCTGATGTTGGATGTTATTGTGTTAGTTATTTTATAATTTTTTAAATATTTACTTCTCTATCCATATTCTCTCCCCATCAGCTCTATGACTAGCTGTCCTATACTACATTTACTTACCATTATTTTGCATTATTTTATTCTTGCTTTAATCAGGCAAATAAAAGCCATAATCAAGCATCTCCTTTCCCTATGTCAGCTGCTTCCCAACCTTTTTTCATATTAAGATAATCATCATAAATTTGATCAGGAGATGATGATATGTTTCCAACACTGTACATTTTGGCCTATTCAATATTCGTAATCCCATGCATCCCTATTCAGAAAATCCGTTACAGTATGTTCCAGTACAATGGAGGTAGTCAATGTGGCACCCTGATGTTCACCAAACTCTGATTTATGTAACTCTTAATCCTTTATATTCTTTACTTACAGAAAATTAAGCAGAAATGGTCTTTAGCATTTTCATTTATAAGAATGTCTCTGGTCTTACAGAAATCCCAAAGCAGTCTTAGAAAACAGAAATAATAAAGGCTATACTTACCCATAGAAATGACTTGGTGATAAACAAGTCCTTCTGTAACTGTTGTACATAAATGCCATTGTCTTTAAAAAATGGAGCATGACTAGCAGTGCAAACTACTTTTTATACATTTTTATACCCAGAAGTGGTTGTCTCCCTTTGATTACTGTCACTCCAATAACTAGAACGATGATTTATTTATGAAATGTATACACTGGCTCAATCCAATTGGACTCTAAGCTCTCTGCAGTACATACAATAAACACAGTAATATGAAAATATAAAACAATGTACTAAAATAAAACTATATTTTGTTTTCCACTGAAAACTGCAACACTGAAGAAATTCCAGACTCACTGAAAATTAACTTGATATATTTCTGCATTTACTACAGTTAATAATTCTTTGTGTGAGAACTATATGATAAAACTAATTCCAATGAGAAAAAGTTAATTTTCATGCAAGAATAATTTTCAAACCATATGATTCTTGTCTGCCATGATTATCTTTTCACTGTTGGGTTTGTATCTGAAAGTTTCTGTGGAATTTGCCACCAGCTACTTGTCAAAACAGGATGAAGTGAAGAACGACAAAACACATGTGTTTACGTACTGTATTTTGCAATTAGCAGGTTCGAAGGGTGAAGCTGAACTTCAGTCAAGATATTATCACTCTGCACTAGTTTTCTGTCACTGCTTATTACAAACAAGCGGGGAGAAACACTTAATAAGCCCAGCCTGCCCTTTCTCCCACTCCCAAAGCTAGATTTTCACACAACGTACCTCACCCTAAACTCAACCCTGGTCAATGGCCAAACAAATGGCCAATGCCCATACAATGGCCAAACAAATAAACAATACGGGCTAATTCGCACAATACTGTAGACCGGGTTAACCGATTCTCTCCAATGCAGCCGAACTACAAACTATCCAGCCCCTCCGGAACCGAAGCAAACGCTCGGCGTAATCCCAAGCCAAGGGCAGAGTCCAGGAAGCCTACTTGCCGCGTGCTTTTGCCGTGCAGCGAGGACATAACCGCTCCTCGCGACCTCAACTCCATGTTGATTAATCCTCAAGTCTACAAATCCCTGCTTCCTGCAGTACATGTCCTCTTTCTCTAGTTTAACCTCTCCAAGCCAGCGCTTCGTTTCACAACCCCCTCGCAGTTTACATAACCCCCGACGAGTCTCCCATTAGCTCGCAAAAGTACTTCGACGGATCTCTATCATCACCACTAGCCGCTCCGCGGCTCCTTTACTCCAGATTTAGCTCGGGATCCGATTCCCTATACCCCCTCTAGGCTGTATACATGCATACTGTACACTCACATCTCGCCGAGTACGTAAGCTTCGCCTCTAAATCCCCTCACAAGGCCGAGCACTACATTCACGCCCTCCACCCCGCTTCCCCAGCTAAGATACACAGGACCAACACACCATAACCTCTAAAACTTACCCTCCGGTTAACAGAGGTAGGGAAGAGACCGGCGAGACTTTTCACCGAGGAAGACGCCAGAGCCTTTAACTGCACCAGCCCACAGCCGCCATTACGCCTCACAGTCCGGCCCTCACAAGTCACTTCCGCCCCCATGCGCGCAAGTCTCTTCCCCGCACGTGACGTAGCAGGATCAATGCGCGTAAAGGGCCTGCAGTGACTCCACCCGTCTGGGCATTCCGACCTTGGCGTTTCTGTTGCGTTGAGAGGAAGTAGAATCTGCTCGTTGCGGATTTGTCGGAATTGCGCCCTCGGTTCCCTTACAGGGTCTGTAGTCCTGTTGGGACCAACGTACAGGTCATGAAGTCCCGAAGAAGGTTTCGAGTTCTCTGCTGGATAAGTTTTTAATGAGCTGTGAGCCGCCCAGAGTCCCCCATTGGGGGGGAGATGGGCGGGGACAATTTTAATAAATAAGTCACTACAGTAGTATGAATAATAAAGCAAAGCATCAGACAGAGACCCGCCCTTTAAAAAAGTGTATCAAGCATTCCGTAAACACTAATTCCTACCTGAGTCATCAAGGAAGCTGGATTGTTATTCAGCAATTATTACTTCTATTTGTAGATGGCTTTTTGTCCGAGAAGGAATTCACGATTGCGTGAACACATTGTGTTTTAAAACAAAGTAATTGGAATTTTTTTCTTTAAAAGCACCATTTAAAAATCGTAATGCCCTTGTTAACAATCATTGAAGGCTGAATGTTAAGCTGGAGGGGAAAAATGGGCTGTCTGCTGCTGCCCCTGAGGATGAATTGCAAGAGAGGGATTCAGCTGATAACATTTAAATTGAATTGTAATTTAATTTTAATTTAAAAACAGTTTGCTAAGCAAACCACACCATGGCTTAGTATATTGCATAATGCAGCAAGCCATGGTTCATTCAAAATCAATGTTAGAAAAACAGTATCTTAGTGTGATGTGGGAGCCAGGTCCCTGATTGTTATAAGCTATGCAACAGAGCAGCCATGCCCAACAAGACCGATGTCCTTTCATCTAGCTTACTTGCTTGGTTTAACTTTCCATGCATAGTAGAGCATTTCTAGTTACCAATCTCAGATGGTTTACTCACCTTTTCATGTCTCCAGTGAATATTTAAGAAATTTTTAATGTATATTTTAATGATGCAAGTCTCCATTTGCTGAGTTAAATGTGTACTGTACGGGTTGGATGAAAACTATGTGTGGCAATTAGCGAGCTTGTAATACAATAGAAGCTTTTCTAGAGGCATATATATTTTATCTGGCTAGATTTTAGGGGTTGTTACAACATCCAGGTTTATCTTGAAAAAGAGTGATACTTAGCCTCAAATTTGTATTTTTTTCTTTTGGTTCCTAATAATGATGCTCTTTAGAGTTTAGATTTCAGTTGCAGAATTCCCAACTGGAACAGTCAATGGCCAGAAGAGTACCAGATCAGGGAAAGATGATCTAGGCTTCTGAGTTCTTAACCAGTATCTGGTGGTATTACATCATCAAGGCAATGAGTTGGAATTCAGAAATTATGAAGGAGAACCAAAGGTCTCTGGACATGCTGGAAAACTGAGTGGGCCAGCATCTGGCAAGTAAGAGTGTTGGAATTATTCCTTCTGAAGAATGGCTTATCGTTCTGTAACTATGAAAACAGCCTGGTTAGGGCTGCTAATTATGCTATAAATTACAAAGATAGATAAATAATTTCAAATCTAAATGCATACTTTAAAAAAAAAAACTAAAGCCTAGTGGTCTGGCAATATTTTACAAATTCTACTTTAGCAGTCAGGACAAATACATGATGATAACAAAAATAATAGGCTGGTAACCTGTTTTGGGAAATTAAACAGAAATCTTAAATTGTACATAGAAGAAACATTTGCAATCTACAATGCACATAAGAAATTACATTTTCTGTCAATCAGCCTATCTGAATTGCTGTTATTTTTTCTGAATTGCTTTGTTTATTTTCCAAGGGATTCATATTTTAAATTCTGCACTGGTATGTTTTCTGTGTCAAATAAACCCTAACAACCCTGTATTTGTAAAAAAGCACTCGTAAAGACACACAAGGAAAAGTGATGATTTTAGTACATTTGATGATTCATTTTCTAACTGCATTTTTAAAAACATGCAACTTGCAATCTTAAGCACACTGACGTAGAAATAAGGCCCAATAGGACATAATTATGAAGATTCACATATCTGAATAATCATAACCATAGCAGTTAGATTTTTAAAACCTTTGAACTAGTATCTAGTATAACATTTTGCAATGGCTGCAAATGCAAGTATAATGCTTATTGTACTTTCATTCCTGTCAGAGGAATGCTGTTAAGCAAGATTTGTGGGAATGCTTAGAGGACGGAAGTAGAGACATACTACCCCAAGGGCCAAGTGTTGACAGACCCTAGGACATGTTGCCACGTATCACAGAAAAAGTATCACCAAAATGGAGACCACTGTTTTGCATAACATGTTCATATGTTATCCACAAAGATGCATCTTTATAAATTGTGGTATTGGTATCCAATAGGTGTCACTCCACTGATTGAAAATTCCTTCTGTCCATACTATTAATAGCTGGCTTCAGTGATTAGCCATCCCTTGTCATCTTCCTTTTCCTCCCTCCAAATCTCAAGAGGGTTTTCCAGTCCCCAAAAGCAGATATTGGGACAGAGCTGCAGAGAGGGAGGAGAGTCACTGAAAATTGCCCTTCTCACTTTTTTCCACAACTCATATGGAGCGATACAATACATCTCACCAGAGTGGGGGAGATTGTGATCTGCGTGCTTACTCACTTTGTTCTCAAAAGGCTAGCTGTTCATATGTCTCAAGCGGCTTAAATTGGAAGCCATCACCACATCCCACGGAAATAAATTCTGTAGATTAACTATGCACTGTATATTTTAAAAAATATTATCTTTTGGGTTGAATCTCCCACCACAGATTTATTTGTTGTCTATGTTTCTAGTATTAGGAGTGTGTGAAAAAAATGACTCCGCATGCTTTTCATGCAGACAGTTCCAGATTCAGTCTGTGACATTTCATCATGGAAGATGAAGAAGACTCCTTTTTCCTGAAATTCTGAGAAACTGCTATCACAGTACTAAACTAAATGGGGCCAATGGTCCAATCTCATCCTTTTGGCTGGATGGACACATTACTAAGCCATTCTGTGGTTTGTCTATGAACATGTATATTGGATGAACATAACCAATTATGGTATAGTCAGTAAACCATGGTTTAGCTATTGAGTCTTAGCATGATATACAGATCAGCCATAGTCTCATACAAGACTTCACAATATCAATTTAAAAACAGCTTAATATTTGTATTGGGAAGCAAGCATTGTGCGCCACTTATGTCCTAGTCCAATACTCTTAAACAATTCAGCTGGGAGTAGGTAATATGAGGTTTTCTAAACGTCGTTGGATTATGGTTCTCATTTTCCTCCAACATTAGCCATGCTGACTAGAGGTGATGCAATTTGGAGTTTAACATCTTCTGGCAGGCCATTTGGTTCAATGAGTTAGATACGTATATAAACCCATCCCCCAAATTTACTAATTATGTTTGAACATTAAACTTAGGGTCATCATTGAAACAATGAGAAATTATTCTTTTTCAAACCTAAATTTGTGATACAGCATTAATATCTATTAGAGAAAATATCCAGTCCAGCAAAAGACAGGGCTTGTGAAATGAACTTCAGTCTTCCTTATCTCTGCAGATCTCAAATAAAATTTACATTTAAAACTAATAAGTATATTAGGTAAATATGATAGAGAAATGTTGTTCCCTGTCCTCTGGACCCAAGGCTCCCCTTCTCTCTTTTAATACTGTTGAAAGACCAAAATCATAAAGTTAGCATAATTGCTGTTAAAACAAATGCTCTGTTGATGGAAGAATAGCTTTAAAGCCAATTAAAAACTGGCAGTCATCCTTACCACAAAAATAATGCTTGTTAACAGTTCATTTTTGTGGCATGTTTTTCAGCATAATCACCCATTTTTAGAAAGCCTATGTAGTGCTTATTTTTTTTTATTTCCTTTTTATAGACTTTTTTTTAACCTTTCATACTGAAAGGTATTTTAAATGTTATGTGAACCCATATATTTAATATAGGGGACACAAGAATGTTACAGTGTGGAAAACTAAGTTGTGCAGTTAACAAGCAGCTACTTCTTCTGTTTTACTTTTAAATATCCTACAACTTCTGGAAAAAAAATGAGCAACTCTGTTAGGGAATCTATGTTACCAGTGGCAACTTTACCAATACAGTACAGTGCTTCTATTGACCTCTTTACATTATTTTGTTTCTTTTATGTTTGTAATGGCAGCTTAAGACAGAAGTGAGCTTTCATGAGATATTCTTAAAACAAAAACAGAAGACCAGGAAAACATCCATGAATGTCCAAGTCATAGCATAATAAATGTTTTAAGCTAATCTCTTACACATCATCTTATATGTGAAGCCCAAAACAGACACAATGGGAATTTGAAATCAAATTTAATCAGCAGTCTGGAAATAACATCAATCAGAAACTGTATTTTTAAGGTTCTTTAAACCCAAGTTCCTGGCACCAAATTCATAAGTCTCACTGAGAATAAAATTCAAACTTAAAAGATAGAAAATGATACATTTTGAGAATGTATGCTGTAAACCTCAGTATTGAGGCACTGGGCTAGCCAGTGACTCAAAGCAAAATGAGGCAGTCAGTATGAAAACTGAACTGTTACTTAACTTACTTTATAATGATCATGTTTTTATTTCCTAGGAACAACAGACATACTTCTAGGATTTCTTGTTTTCACCTCAGATTCAGTTTGGAAGGGGAAATACCAAGCACTTAGTTCTGGGAGGAGGAGGTAGAATGATATCACATGCATCATGATGTCATTGTGCAAATGATACCATGATATATGGAGCAACTCTTGCTCCCATGCCCCTCTCATGCCCACATTTCCAAACATGAACATGGCTGCAAAAATATTGAGTGTGGCCTGGTACTATTCAAATCAGCTCCAAATAATATCAACAGAAAACTATTCTGTAAGAAAAGAAATACTCTAAAGTATCTGCCCTAAGGTGCTTTTTGGTACCAAATCACAACATTTCTATTTGCCCAAGTGCAGGCTTGATGAGGATCAATGAGCTGAGGCTAAATCTCAACAAGATGGAGGTACTATAAATACGTGATTCCCCTGTTTGTGAATTAAGCAGGTCACCTGTTCTCGATGGAGTTACACTGCCCCATGTGTATAATATACAGGTGTTCCTGGAAACCTTAGCTTTCAATGGAGGTGCAAGTGATCTCTAGTAAGGAGTGTCTTTTTCTGCTGCTCCAGGATAACGTTAATCTGACTCCAGTAATCTACTTCACTGCCAATTTTAAGGCTGGATTAAGGCTGTGACAGTGGAATTTCTTCCCTATTCAGTCATGGTTGGTGTTGATCCTTGGGAGCTCCAAGCTTGCTTAAGACATTTCTGTACGCCCAGAATTTTGGGTAAATCATTGCTGAGGCACCTTCTATTCCTTTTCCTTCTGAATATCCTTAACTATTATGTTCACACCTGGATTGTGATTTTAAGTATTTCTCGATAGAGTGTTGTTACCACTTTTAAAATCACGTTCACTTACTGTACATTGGTTTTTATTCTGTACTTTTGGGATTGTTTTTTTACAATGAATACCTAGATGAGAAATTGTGAAAATAAGGCATATTACTTATTGCCTCTCAGTTTCATGGTTACATTTATTTGGAGTTTTTATGTAATGTAATTAATATTTTATGGTTGTATGTAAAAATTGCAGTTCGTACAGAAAATCTTTGACTCTTTTTTTTTCCTGCAGTGCCTCAGGAAATATATGGACGAGAGAGAAGAATTTTAACCACTTTTTAAATACTTTCTAGTATTGGGCGTTTTCTCCGTTTTCTTGCCGCTCTATTGCTTAGCTGTCCCCGACAGCTGGTATGGACTATTGCTCCCATAATACCTACGGCTGGGCTGATGGGAATTGAAATTCAGTCCAGCTTGAGGTGGAAAGCTTGCATTCGACCGGCACAAATCTCGGAGCGAGGATTTTAGATAGCCAAGAAGACACCCAACACCGCAAATCTGCTTTGCATTTCTGGAGAAAGCGATGCCTATCATGGGATAGGGAGGAGTCGCGACAGGTCACCGACTGGAGAGCGTCTGGTTTGATTGGGGGTTGGCTGCCGATCGAAAACGGCGGTTGGTTGCTTTGGATGTCACTCCCCTGTCTCCGCCTCCTTTCGTGCTCCGCCGCAGCCAGTGGAGCCAAGCGAAGGGAGCGGAGAAGGTGGTGGCGTCTTACTGGAGGTCGCGGAGCGGAGGTGGGCGAGCAGCATGGCAGCGGCGTTAATGCTCCGAGTCTCCGTTAGTTCGCTGCACAGGCAAGGGAAAGTCTGTGCAGACAGGCTCGCTCGGGGTAAGGCGATTCGACCTCGCGCCACTGGACGGGAGGCATAAACTGGCTCGCGGTGTCTTGGATGAGGGTCCAAAAGGTGGCTCGGCCCTCCAAGAGGACAAACGTGTCGATCCCTTTCCTTGTCACCTCGCAGAAGCTGAGGTTCGCACCCTGTGGCCAAACTTAGTAGCCCCTGACTATGCAGATACCTGTCTGGGGAGGAATGGGATCGCTGTAAGGAAAGAGACATGTCAGGAAATAGAGGGTAGGGGGTATGCTTCTCCAAACCTGGCTTCTTTCAGATCCTCATCTGAAGTATGCCTTGGCACGCGCGGTGGTCTTGAGTAATGCCTTCGGAGAAGTTGGGCTTTGCATTCTTACCAAGTACTTGCACGTCTATTTAAGCCACGCCAATTGTAAAATTTTTATGGGAATAATACCTGACCTTTTGGGGGCTAAATGGCTGTTGGTCTAAAGCCACACGTGGCACTGAAGCAGGTCACAAAAGTTTGTGTGACATCTGTATCCCAACGTATCAACTTAAAAGTAGTTGTGATTTATGCTCATACTTGCTTTTCCCCATATCATAGGGGGGGTTTTCCTAAGAAGAAAATGAGATTTTGATTAATTGATGTGAGTCCAGACATTTTGTCTATGTAAAACATTGTGTGGGTTGGACTATGCATGTTAATCGTTTGTAAAAGCAAGTATGAGCTTGTGGATTTCTACAACAGAAATTAGTTCTGTGGTAGAATCTTATAAAGGAATAGTCCTTACTAAGTTTAATGGTTCTTGCTCCCAGGTAAGTTCGTAGTGAGTTTAAAAGCAACACCCTGGAACACAATTCTATATTTGCTTAGTCAAGATTTGTGTGTGTGTGTGTGTGTGT